GTTTCCCTCTCTCTCTGCCCCTCCCCCACTCACACTGGGTCTCTCTCTCAAAAATAAACATTAAAAAATTAAAAATAAAATTAGCTGAAGGTTATTCTTAACAGATTTTCTGCTCTACAACCAATTCTACTTTCCTACATCCACCTTTTCTTCAAAACAGACCAACCCATTCAATGGTTAAAAACAAGACAATATGGGGGTGCCTGAGTGGCTCAATCTATTAAGCATCTGACTTCAGCTCAGGTCACGATCTCTGGGTTTGTGAGTTCAAGCCTGGCATCAGGCTCTGCGCTCCTAGCCTCCATCTCAAAAATAAATAAACATGAAAAAACAAAAACAAAACAATATGGAACTATCATGAACATAATAATTTCCACTAGTTCTTCAGAGCACTTGCTAATACACTACAGAGTCCAATCCATTTGGCTTTAACTGGGAACGTAACTTCCAGGACCATACCCAAAACAAAACTCTGCTGTAATTATTCTGAATACTCAGGATTTTAAGACCATCTGCACCATTATTATCATAATAAATAATTTGGATTTTTTTTACCTATGCTAAAATACATATATTACCTTCCAAAACCTAGATAGCAATTCTATGAGAGATAGTTACTACCTCTAATTGCAGATCACAAATTGGGGCTCACAATTTAAGTGTGGAGTCAGGTATTAAGTGAAGGAATTAAGATATGAATCTAGGTCTAATTCTAAAGTACGCCCTTTTTCTACTTTTCCACATTGATTCCTATTTAATATTAAAAACAGGAGGGACAAATGAAGTAAAGAAATGGTAATCTGGTCAACTGCACATCAAGTCCAAAAAGAGCTATTATCTTGAACCTGCTGACAACCATATCTATCCTTTCTTTCACTAAGTTATAAATATTTCTTTCTGATAAACAGAAATTAAAAAAATTCAAGTTCTTGATTGATTAGTACACAAAATTACGTTGACAAATATTTACTGATTGCTTACTTTGTGCCAAACACTGTTCTAGTTGCTTGGGGATACAGCAGCAAAGAAGACCTAGCCCTGTCATCTGGTGGGAGAAGAGAAACAATAAGCATGTAAACAAATAAACATGGTAATTTCATATACTGAAAATAATGTGAAGTGATAGAAAGCAACTGAAGGGACCCCCTGAAATAAGGTCATTTAGGAAAGGCCTTTCTGAAAAAGTAATATATAAGGTTGAATCTAAATGATGAGGAAACAGAACTGGAAGAAGCCTGAAAGGTAGTAGACAGGACAGATGTTGTAGGAACTTTGAAGACCATAGTAAAAGTAGTTTAGATCTTAACCTGTTGCAATGGAATATCACTGGAGGATTCCGAAGCACGGGAATGACATCTGTTTATACTATAGAAAGACCACTTTTAAAAATGACAGCAATGGCAGTGCCTGGCTGGCTCAGTCAGTGAAGCATGTGACTCTTGATCTTGGGATTCTAAGTTCAAGCCCAGCAGTGGATATAAAGATTACTTAAAAATAAAAAAATAATCTTTTAAAAAATACGATGACAATGAATATTTCAGCCAGACAAATTAAAAGAAGCCTGAATAAAATCAGTTAGAACCCATCTTCAAGAAGCCTGCTTGTGGGGTGAATGGGTGACTCAGTCAGTTGAGCATCCGACTTTGGCTCAGGTCATGATCTCACAGCTCGTGAGTTCGAGCCCTGCGTCAGGCTCTGTGCTGACACCTCAGAGCCTGGAGTCTGCTTCTGCTTCTGTGTCTCCCTCTCTCTCTGCCCCTAACCCACTCGCATTCTGTCTCTGTCTCTCTCAAAAATAAACATTAAAAAAAATTTTTTTAATAAAAAAATAAAAAAAAAGAAGCCTGCTTGCTTTCTCTGAATTAGTTCCTTTAAAATGAACAAAAGCCTGTCAACATGTTATGAAACAGGATCAAATGAAAATATCTTTGGAAGATCTAACAGTTCCTTAAATTCACACTGAAGACTAAACACAAATTACTAAATAATGAATGGATGCCAGAACAAAAAAGAGAAGCGAAAGTGACATCAGGAAAACGGACAGAAAGGCCGGGAATGCCAGGTACTTACTTCACAAATTTGCCGAAAGTACACTTAGAAACCAAACTCTAAAAGAATCTCAACTGTAAAGAAATATGAAACTAAATGAGGCCCAATGCATAAACTATTTTCACTGGGCCCTTCATCACTCTCCTGAATATTTCTCTCAAAAGGCTTTACTTACATTGAGATGAATGATGTTCATTAAATGTAAACACAAAAGGACTATAAATACCCTTAACCATTTTAGAAAGTTCCATTCCATTAGGAAAAAAAAAATCAAGTTTTTAGAAAGCCAAAAGCATTTAACTGTATAAACTATATATAATACACTTCAAATGAAGTGTTGTTTTCCTAGAGCAATCATTTTTTTCACTCAAGACATCAACTAGGGAAATAAGCTTAGGCAAAATATCAACAAAGTAGAGGCAGAAAAATTCTGGCTTCATTATATCTTATTATTGCTAACTAGGAAAAAAATTCTAATTGTCATTTGAAATCCCACAAGGCAGGGATGGGGGTCAACCTATTCTTGCAAATGATGTAACCATACAGTTAAAGCACCAGAGCTCAAAGGTAGGGAATGTTAAATGCTTGTATAACTTAGTAAAAATGGTTTAAAACAAGAGAGAATATATTCTCAAACTCACGTGAGCACTTGCTATCACTGGTGAACCAAGTACATGAAAGACTAATCTTTTTTTTTTTTTTTAATCTTGAAAACATTATTTTACAAAGTTAAATGTGGCCATTGTCATCTGGTATTTGTAGAGTAAAATCCTAACTCCACCCTTTTTCTGTGTAACATTAAGGAATTTACTTGCTGAGCCTTAAGTTTCCCTACCTGAAATCAATGATTTAAAAAAAAAAAATCTACCTCTTAGGGTTATTTTTTTTTTAATTTTTTTTTAATGTTTATTTATTTTTGACAGAGAGAGAGACCGCGCATGATCGGGGGAGGGTCAGAGAGAGAGGGAGACACAGAATCCGAAGCAGGCTCCAGGCTCTGAGCTGTCAGCCTAGAGCCCGATGCAGGGCTCGAACTCACAGACCGTGAGATTATGACCTGAGCCGAAGTCGGAAGCTCAACCGACTGAGCCACCCAGGCGCCCCTCTTAGGGTTATTTTAAGGTATAATGAGATATTGTAAATATTTTAAAGTATTGTAGATATTTTAAAGTATAATGAGATATTGTAAATAACAATAAAGGACTGGGCAGATAGCAGATGAGAGTCTTTGATGATGCCTGTTATCGTATGTTCTAACTTTACTTCTTGGAAAGAAAGTAACTTTGATCTATTAGTAAATCTAGGTAATCTTGTCTTGGTTCTACAACCTTTCTGGCATATGTTATTCAAAGAACCACAAGACATCTCTACCAACAATAACTTTATACACACAAATGGTCTGAAGACTGGGGCCTATGATTTCATAAGTTTTATCCATCTGTTCCCTAAAAGGTAAATACAAATCCAAACATTACAGGGGCAATGGCAGAAGTGGAATAAGAAGAGTAACTAGAAGATGGGTCTCACTGGTGACATGCCACAGACAAGAAGCAACAAAAGACCTAAAAGTCAAATAGATATATATGGCATTAGGGTTAACCCTCTCTCTCTTCTCAGCCGGAAGCAACAGTGACTTCACACTTACTCCTAAAAGATTTGAAATGTTTTGCTGACAATCCATGCTTCCTGACAGTTTAATATACTTCTTTTCTGTAGTAAAGCAGCAAAGTGGGAAAAAATCCCCCAAAGAGACAAAAAAAGCAGTCACTGGGGAAAAAAAAAAAGTACTACATATTTAAAAAGCACATTTCTTGATTTCCTGTTTTGATTACCTAGGACACCAAACTCATTTCTTTAAAAAGGCATTACAGGTGCTGAAAAATAGCCGGACATTTTTTATATTTTAAGGCATCAGTGATGACACTGACTACAGTTATTTCTGGTATCAAGAAGCCCGTATTTTATTTGCAATTAACACGGGTACAGGGAACCCTCCCAGGTGGTCCTCTCAGCTCTACGTGGAGCTCGTGTTACTTCTCAACATTCACCCAAGTAAGGCCCTTCTTATTACACATCACGAATTTTAGGTCAACGTAAAATAGAGTGGTCCAACACATGCCAACCAAGTACGTGGGTTTGCTACTGCTTAAACCAAAGCTTGTCTATCATCAGGAAAACCATTTGCACGTCAAGGCCTATGAGAAACAAACGGACGCGACAATTTCCGCGAAGGTTCAGTAAAGCTAACAGCACTCACAAGGCTCCGAAAAGAAGTAATACCTACATCTCGAAAGATCTAGGCCCAAGGGCCCAAGGTCACACACACCAAGTCAGCAGCTAGTAAAAAAATCCAAGAAATGATGAGCTTCCTGCAGTTCAGGGCAACCCTGGCTGGGAATGGAGTCTGGGCTTGGGAACACTCGCGTCAAAGCTTGAACGTGAATAACGCCAACCGAATGCAGTGACTCCGTGGGAAAACCCCAGGCTAGTTTAGGGAAGGATTTCCTTCCATTTCCCCAGTCTTCCCTTCCCTAGGCACCCCCAACACTCACATCTCCGGAGCCACTTCATCCAATGGTAGACGATAGTAGTGTGGTGTTTCTTGTTCTCTATACACCAAGACGACAGGCCTTGAATAGATTCCATGGTGTTGGTTACCGACTGGAATTTTCGATCCAACGAGGACTCCAGAGCCCCTGCCGAAGAGGCCGACGAGGAGGAGGCCTTACTGCTGCCTCCGCCGCCGCCGGCCGCCATCTTCCCGGTTTGCACAAGCGCTGCTGCTCCTCTGGCGGCCGCGCCGGCGGCGGCGGGAGCGGGCAAAACAATCACTGCGAGTGCGTGAAGGCCGTAGGTGGGGAGGGAGGCCAGGGGGTGGGGATGGTGCACGCGCTAGGCTCTTCGAGAGGTAGGACGGGAGGACCAGCTGCCGGGCACGCTGGCGGCTCCTACACGCTGGAAGGAGGGGCTGCGGGTATCAAAGGTTTATCAGAATTGTTCAAGGGGTTGTGTTTGAACCAGTCAATAATAACGGAAGAATTACGCAGAAAACAAGGTCCTGCGAAGCCTTTCAAAACGCCTGGCCCCGAAATTAATGGTTTTACATTCTTCGGCTCTCAAAGCTAAGGCTCTTCCCCACTCCAACGCCACACACACTCCTGTAAGGGTAGGCGTTAATATCTCAAATTTAATACTACCCGATTGCCCCTTCAGTTGCAGAAATCTTTCTCCTTTAGATCTTCTAGCACAGAAAAGGCCCAAGGCTACCTAGCCAGGATTTTTTTTGCAACGCAATAGCAGCAAAGGGACAGCAACAGTATCGCGCACGCGCTGCTTAGCCCCGCCTCCCCGCTTCCTTCTCAACCTAGAAAGCAGAGGGAGGCGTGATGGCGGGGCAATCTGACCAATCCAAGGGCAAGAACGAGAAGCGCGCGCAGAAGCCCGCAAGCCCCAAGGGCCAAGAAGGCTCTTCGATTATTTGTGCGCTTGCGCAGCAGATCAGCGTGTAGCGAGCTAGGAGGAAGAACGCAGGAGGGTGAGGGAGTTGGTCAAACTAAGGAGAGGTTGGGGGAGGGGCTTCACCGCTCCGCCCCGCCTTTTGCTTCCTAGCAAAGTCTCCCTCCTGGGGCTGTCCAGCTCACACAGCAGGCCGTAAAATTCCCACCGGTCAAAGGCCACTGTTACTCTCTGGCAGCTGCTGCCGCCGCCGCCGCCGCCGCCGCCGCTAACTCCTCGGGGCACCGACGCGCGACAAAGTGGCTGACAGCCATCTTGCCGTGCCTTGGAAGATGCGCATGCGCCAGCCCCAGCGAGCCCTTCGCTACGCAGACTCCCAGACCAAACAATATTTTACACTCCCTTTGGACGATACCATTCACAGCCAGTAGGCTTTTTGGATTAAAGAGGAAGTAAATGAAGTAAATTCCCCGTAAATTTTTCGAGACGAGGAAGTAATAATAGGCAAGATGTGATCTCACCTTTGCCAATTATAGTAATCTCACAATTGCCTAATACATTATAGTTTATAAGAGCCTTGGCTGTCTATTGTATTATAAATTAGCACAACCTCGATTAAGCATTCCATCGTATCTGCGTACGTAAATCCTCTGGGCAGATTTGGAGGCTCCTGTGTCCCACTGAGCACATGCAATTATTGTATTTTATGTCTTTTACCTCTACCCAGTGGACTCAACGTTTCTTGAGGCAGGGAACCTGTTTTGTGAAGCTCATATTGATTGAACATATTGATTGAAGCTCATACTGATTGAACAAAAAGTTGAACGTTTTGTGCCAAGTACAGTTCTAGATATGGAGGAGTAAAACAGCAAAACAGAAAAAAAAAAAAAAAAATCCCCTCCCTGTGGGACTTAGTAGCAGGAGACCATAAACAAATATATATCAGGAAGTAATAACTTCTATGAAGAAGTATGAAGCAGTAAGGAAGAGAGGATATTGTGTGTGTGATCCTATAGGGGAAGGGAAATGTTTTGGTGATCCAGGAAGGCTTCTGGAAGGAAGAGACACTTTATCTGAATGCTGAAAATAAGGCAACCAAGCAGGTATGGGGAAGGTAGAGAAGAACATACTGGCAGAGGTAACACCCAAGTGCAAAGGACCTAAAACTATAAATGTCTCGACATATTCGAGGAAGAACAAGGAGGCTAGTGTGGCTGGAGAAGAGCAAGAGAGGTAGAACATGAGGTCTGAGGTGAAGGGAGAGAGTTCATATAAGGCTTTGCAGGCCATTGTAAGGATTTTGGCTTTTAATTTTGAGTTAGGGAGCGGTTCTATGCAGAGGAGTTTTAAACAGAAAAGTTACACGGCAATCTTTTTAACTGGTTGCTATGTTGATAATAGATTTAAGGGCCACGAGTCAAGGAGGCTGTTGAAATAATCCAAACAAGGAAAAGATGGCTTGCACAAAAGTGGTAGCAAAAAGATAATGAGAAGTGGTGTCAGATCGTGGACATATTTTGAAGGTAGAGCCAAAAGAATTGCTCATTGGATTTAAGGAGAGTATGAGAAAAACGAGCCAAATATGGCAGGCACTGGGGGTTGTGAGCTGAGCAACTACAACTGTGTTTCTCAGCCTTTTGCATTATCGTTGCCCCTAAAGATCCTTTTTACATTTTTTTCCCTAATCTCTCAGTCCCCATTGAATTTTAATGCCCAGATGCACTGTATATCTGTTTATGTGCTGCATGTTTTATTCAATACAGAGTTAGGAAGTACTAAAATCTTTGAGGTGCCTGGCTGCCTCAGTTGGAAGAGTGTGCAACTCTTGAACTAAGGGTCATGAGTTTGAGCCCCACATTGGGTGTAGAGATTACTTAAATGAATAAAAACTTACAAAAAAAATGAATGTGTTGTGTATGTTTGGATTTTACGGATTTACAAACCACTGTAGTATCTAAGAATTCCTCATTGCCCAAGAACTGCATTCCTCCCTTTTGTGGGGTGACATTGCCCCCATTGAAAATACATGAAATATGGGGCAGCTGGTTGGCTCAGTTGGTTCAGCATCCAGCTCTTGGTTTCAGCTCAGGTCATGATCTCACAGTTAGTGAGATTGAGCAAAGCCTGCTTAGGATTCTCTCTATCCCTCTCTCTCTGCCCCTCTTCCACCACCCCCCTCCCCAATAAATAAATATTAAAAAAAAAAAAAAAAAAAAAAAAAAAAAAAAAAAAAGAACCTTGAAAATGCATGAACTAGAAGAATGGAGTTGCCACTTTCTCAGATGGACCAGAAGAAGAAAGCGGGAGAAGCAGTCCTGTGAGAAATGAGTAGGAATCAGGATTTCAGTTATGGAAGCTTGAGTTTGAGATATCAGATACATAAATGGCACTAGATATATGAGTCTGAAGTTCACAAGGAAGATCTGGGTAGGAAACATAAATTTAAGAATTTTCAGTATTGGAGCTTCTGGGTTGGTGAGCTCATAATTTGGAGACAGGCACCCAGAGGGGGCCTAGAAGCTCCATGCTCTTCCCCATACCTGGCCCTGTGCATCTCTTCATCTGGCTGTTCCTGAGTTGTATTCTTCTATGATAAAGTAGTGACCTAGCATGTCATGCTACCCAGGGAACTTTCCAAACAAGTACTAAACATCCATCTGATTTCAGAAAAGGAGTAGATGAGACTTGGGTGACCAACAGAGTATAGGCTGGCTTCATTACATGATTCATGAGCCAGAATATTTTCTTCTCTTTAGACGACCTCTTCCAAAAGATTAATAAAAATTGTGAAGTATATCTAGGGACCATCCAATAAATCTTTTTCAAATGTAATATATCTGTGTACATAAGGTAGTGTTCAGCGAATACTTGAAAAATGTACAAATTGTTCTTTCATATGTGTTCATGAGCTGTATTCTTCACAGCAACAGAGCTCAGTTAAATCCAACTGCAAGTAGGTTACTGTAAGGTGTTTAAGATACACTTTTTTCTAGTCAGTTTTTCTCTTAATATTTGACTTTGCCTTTTCCTTTTGTTTAATAAAGACTGCATGTTGCCCTAAAAAAAATAGGCAATATTTAGGGCTGACTGGCAAGAAGAGCATGTAACTCTTAATCTCAAGGTTGTGAGTGTGAGCCCCATGTTGAGGGTAGCAATTACTAAAATAAGTAAACAAGCAAGCAAACAAAACTTTAAAGAAATGTCAGTATTAAAAAGAAAAAAGTAAAGAATTGTGAGTATTAAAGCCATGAGATGGGTAAGGTTGCCTAGGAAATGAATAAGTATAGATAAGAAAAGAAGTCCAAGGGGGCGCCTGGGTGGCGCAGTCGGTTAAGCGTCCGACTTCAGCCAGGTCACGATCTCGCGGTCTGTGAGTTCGAGCCCCGCATCAGGCTCTGGGCTGATGGCTCAGAGCCTGGAGCCTGTTTCCGATTCTGTGTCTCCCTCTCTCTCTGCTCCTCCCCCGTTCATGCTCTGTCTCTCTCTGTCCCAAAAATAAATAAACGTTGAAAAGAAGTCCAAGGACTAAGATATAAGGAACAACTTGCAAAGGATATTGAAAAGGAATGACTAGTGAAAGGAGAACTCAGAGAATAATGTTCTGAAAGAAGCAACGAAAGTTTGTCAAGAAGGAAGGACTAATCAATTGTGTCAGATGTTGCTGTGTAGGTTGCCTGAAGACTGAGATAACCACGGGATTTGGCAACAGAGTGATCTTTTTTTTTAGTTTTTTTTTTTTTAATGTTTATTTTTGAGAGAGAGAGAAAATGTGTGAGCAGGGGAGGGGTGGAGAGAGGGAGACAGAGACTACAAAGCAGGCTGTCAGCACAAAGCCTGACATGGGTTCCAATCCATAAACTGTGAGATCATGACCTGAGCCAAAGTCAGACGCTCAACCGACTGAGACACCCAGGTGCCCTGGCATCATAGTCATCTTGACAAGGGCTGTTTCCAGGAAGTGAAGTGATAGAAGGTTCTAGAGAGAATGGGAGAAGTGGAAATATCCTGTATAGACAGCTCTTTCAAGAAATAAAATCGGGGGTAAGGGGGAGTGCCTGGCTGGTTCAGTTAGTGGAGCATGTGACTCTTGATCTCAAGTTGTAAGTTCAAATCCCACGTTAGGTATGGAGCCTACTTTAAAAAAATAAAATATTTAAAAAATATAAAAAATATGAAAGCAGAGAAATGGAGCTGAAGCTGCAGGGAAATGTGAAATCAAGGGGTTCTTTTTCTAAGATGGGAAATAATTGTAGCTGATGCAAATGAAAAATTGAGGATTAATTATTGAAACAGGATAGAGA